GCCTGCTGACTTCAGTGGTGCAACAAGCCGTGGATATTTTGCCAGCTAGGTCTCCAGTTATCAATTTTTCCTTGGGAAACCCTTTTTTGGATGCTACTGAGGGTTTGCTTGACCACTAACTGTGGTACAGCCTACTATCGCCTCACTGTTCTCTCCCTGTATAAGAAGGAGGGGTTGCATGCGGTACCTCTGACCAACCGATGTAACCATGCTAATACAGGTGATCTGCCAAAACACACAATGTCGAATGGAGGCAGGACACGTGGCAGAAAGTAAAGCCTATCATGGAAGCGCCGTGATTTTAACTCCCCCACATAATTAAAATAATACACAACCAAAAATGTTATCAGTTTAAAGTCTCACTGCCTGCCTACACACTTCCTCACATAAAAAGCAGTTATCTCATCATGTCTCATCTTCACATCATTGTATTTTTTCCTGATACTGAGCCAAAACATCACGTATTTGTTTCTTTTTTCTTGACTGTGTCCCTGTTTGGCTGTTGCATTGAGTAGAAAATGAATCAAAATGGAGTAGAGGTTGTAGGTCTGGCCCTGAAGCGATACCTGGTCCTGATATTTGGTTTGGTTTTCTATGGACAGGCCTCACCCTCCTGTCAAGGCCTCTTGGCTCAGTGGAGGTCTGGCCCAGCCCCAATGAAGAGTGGATATCTGTAGCTTTTCCCTGTAATGAGAGGCTGTGGAAGTGGTGATCAATACCCTATTCCTTTAAAGCAAGAAAACAAGACATTACATCTTTGGTCCTAATGCAGCCCATTTGACAAGCTACTTGAAGGTGTCGTGTTTCTCTTTTGTATAAACTTTTTTTTTCTATAATTTTTTTTATTATTTTAAAAAGGCTCCTTAAAAGTTTTATGTCAGAATAAAGAGGTAACACTTACAAAAAGAAAGATAGAAAATGGGATCCCAATATAAAAATTTGAACCAGTGGTGATAAAACATTACAAAGCATTCTTGCTAAGTGTTATACAGAGTTTGACATTTCATCAGTATACAGTTTCCATCAGGAAGGAGGACACAGGTATATTTTCACACTTTGTCCTGATTCAGATGTTTTCTCACAGAGAAACTTGGGGGGAAACAAAAGCCAGAGTACCTTAACTGCTTATTTGGAGAGGCAGCAGTCGTACTAACAGACGATGTTGAACTCTGAATCTGAAAAATGAGCGCTTGTCTGGAAATGCAAAGTTTCTCCTTGGCACTCTGGAGCACCCCAGACAGACCAAGGACACCCCAGGTGCCTTGTGATGGGACCTCTTTAAGCTGTTTGGGGTCCTGTGACATTGTTGTAACCCTAACTGCCTCTCCTAGGGAAGAGAAGAGATTCACCCCACAGTATGAATGCCGTGTACATTGGTTTTTGCAGAAGCAATCTCTGCAAGAAGGCTTCGCTTCAAGCCAGGAGCAGGAACAGAAGCCACCTGTTTATTCTCACCCATACCTGTAGGAACAGTCAATGGCCTCCATGATGTCCCTGGGCAAATTTGCCAGCTGTCTCAGGTATGGATTGGCTGGCTGCACCACTTCCCTGGCATTACTCTCCCTACACAAGCCCCTTCCTTTCAAATAAACCATATTTTTTAACACCAGGGCTTCATGTGGCCGTCTGACCGTGACGCTGGTGGGACAGGGCATTCACCCTGAGGCATTCCAGAAACCACCATCTGTTTCCATCTCCCTAGAAAACTCACTGCATTGTTGCCTGCCAGCTGGAAACAAAAGCAAGCCCCCAGCCTCTCGGATGAATTTACCCGACAAGACCAATTGCAACATGAAGGAAATTTCTCAAGCCAATTCCCTTTGCAGCAGAAGAAAACAACCCAAGGCCCAAATGAAGTCAAGTGCGCTGACACTGTACACAGATCACTGGCAAACATCAAAGTAAGATGAAGACTCTTGACTTAACTTACATTTTCATATACTTAGCAGTTATTAAAAGTCTTAAATTATTATTGCAAAAGCAGTTCCATATTAACTGCTGCTTTATGATTCAGAGACACTAAGCACCAACTTGTGAGTGGTTTTATTTTGCCTTCCATAAGAAATATAGAAAAAGGAAAATTTTTGTTTTCTTGATTGGTAAGATGCTGTTAGCTTTTAAAAGTGGCTGTGGCCTGCTACATGTCCCTAATTAGTTGCGTTTTAAAAATCAGCATTTTCTACCCACACCTCCTGAGAGGCAACAGCAGAACTTTCAAGTTATTTTTGGATGCTGATTTATGTGAGCTCTCAAGATGCAGTGTGTTTCTTTTTTCTAATATTTGTAAAACCACAACTTTTACATCCCATTCAGTAGCCTAAATTCCATGCAACACTGCATCAGCAAGGTCCCATGTAACCATGTTCACCTTTATGAGCACCTATGATCCGCATGAGGCTCCTTGCTGTTACATGGTCAGTGAGCTGCAGTGGGAAAACCAGACCATTTCAGCTGCTTATTGATTTTTTTTTTTAATCTCAGTGGAAATCATTTGGTACATCGCTAACGTCTGTTACCGTACAAGCATCACCCTGTGTAGCACCCGTGTCTCCAGCGACAGCCATGCAGCTGTGCGGTCCCATCCACTCCCACTGCTGCTGTATCTGCCCCTGCAGGCACTGGCCACAGATTAGAGCACACTGCCCAGTTTTTATTTTTTGCTGGCTTTTGAATCATTACTGAGCTGCTGATTTACAAATCATGGCTTACAGGATGCCTGTTTACCAGAACTACTTTACAATATAGCTGATCCCATCGATCTGGAATCTGTACATTTGTATCGAGAGTTTGTGGTCCTACATCCTCTTTCCTACTTTTCTCATCAAAAGCAATACATTCAAAAAGTGATGCTGTTCCAGACTTACATTGCTTAATTTCTAGATGAATCTCTCTGTTTCTAGCAATGAGTTGCTACTGAATCCCTTCTAAATTTTTATGGGCAAGCACATTAACCTCTATTAAATAATGTTCATGCTACATAATGCTGGTGATACATATTGCTACTTCTTAGTCACTTTCTTGTTTTAGCTAATAGATTAAACCAAAACATCAATAAATTCTTTTGTGCAATAGTGTTGGAAAGATTCTGCAGGAGAACGTGCACTATGTGATTTTCTAGTGTTCTGCTTGGAGACATAACAGATTTAGCAAATTGAAAATTATCTGTGATTTCTGTTAAGATCTTTTTTTGGGTTTATGTACATTCCTCCGGGGCTGTGGGTGGAGAAAAGCAGCACTGCCTGTGCGTACATGTTGCACGCTTGTGAGAGCAACACAACAAATCTGCTCTCAGGAACGCAAGGAGAAATCTGCCACTAATTGGATGTGGGAACTGAATTTTGGTTAGCTTTTTAAACACAAGCCCAGTAATAATCAAAGTCAAACATTGCATCCTCCATACCGCTGTGCCTGGGACTCGATCATGGTGACACAGATGTACCAAGCAGGACAATCTTTGGATTTTGACCCAATATACTGCTCAACCCTAGACTGCAGCGTGGCTGATGAACTACTGCACACACACAAGCTGCTAATGCATTTTACACCGTGTTACTTATAAAAGGGGTCATTTCACATGCCCGTTCCTCTCCTCTGTTCCTCAATAAATCTGTAAAAACAATGTTCTGAGGATCTGCTGCTTGATCCTGGACTCCAGATGCAATACTTAAACTGAAACACATACTGATATATTCAAAACACAGTGGTGGCATAAATTTGACTATTTCTTGCTACTTAATATAGACTACATATCCTCTCCAACTCAGCTGCTTATGCTACCCTCAAGCAAGTTGCCAGTGTTCAACTAGTAAAGGGCCTTTGTACCAAAATCACCAAATGTGCATTTGCTTTCTGATCTAGTGGTTTGATTAAAATAGCACTGCCAAGCTGCTTGTGGGATGAGTCTAAATTACTGACTAAATTCACACTTTAGGCATTTTAGTCCTCCTACATTCATAAGAAATGTTAATGATGGAAGAATCTGAAGTTCTGTATCACAGGTCTCTGGAAAGGGTAGCAGCTTTTGCTGCTGTGATTAATTTATACTATGAAGCTAAAATCTTAGCCTTGCCTAGTCTGCCTATTCCACGCTGGTAACAGAAGATGATGCTGGGTATTTTAAAGAAGCACTAGGCAGCCCTGTGTTTCAGAAGAGGGAGATAATATTTTCCTTCACTCCAGATTATTCTTCCTTAATTAATTCTCACTGCCCCTCCTGCCTTGCCAGGATATGTAACCCCAAAGGGACAGGCAACCAACCCCAGCCTCTGCCCCTGCGTGGTACAGCAATTGGCAGTATTCTGCCTTGAAGTGAGTGAAGCGTAACACTGATATACCCCTTTTCTTTGCCAAATGTATAAGGGAAAATGATTTCTGCTCTGAGCCCCTTTAAGAAGGGAAATAAAACTGCTTGGCTAGAGCTACCTGTGTTTCTTGCCCTAGTCAAGTTTAATTTAGTATAGTTCTTCCAGGCTGTCTCATGAATGCTCCAATTTGCCACCATTTGCATTTCCTTGACATTTAATTAAAGTCTGTTAAACATTATTTGTCACTTCATTTTTCAGTTATGGCAACATCTTTAACAGTTTTGTTGAAGAAGAAAGGCATTTTGACAACTCGACAGCTGCATAAGGGATCAGAAAAAAAAAGTCTTGCATTTGACCATCAGCAAGCAGACTAGCGAGCACTTTATAACCATGTACAGATGACTTTGAGGTGAGTTCCTCCTGTCAGTTTTTAGCAGTAGTGGTCAGTAGGTGATGCGTCATGCCATTTTGCTCCTTGTGATAGTTTTCCCTGGAGTGATCCACTCCATACTGCCCTGGGCAGAATCTCCCATATGTCCCCCAGATGCATTTCTCCTCTTCGTGCCGAGAAGCAGTATATGGAGCCGATTTGTAAAATCCGGTGGTTTGGAATAACTGTTTCTGTTCCAGGAGTTTTGGAAAAGTATTTAGTAACATTTTTTTTTTCCCCTGCTGGTGATCTGAGCACCATAGCAGACCAGCAGTACGAGCATCTGATCTTGTAAAAGATCCAAAAATTCTGTTAGAAACATTTATAAAAATACAGACTGTAGAAAGGAATTTGACTGTACAATGTGTACAGTTCTCAAGTTCATCCCAGAGTGGCTTCTTACCATGCTACCATTTGAAAATGAAAGGAACGCATCCGTATTTCTTCTGTCCAGGAAGATCCTGCTCCATCCCAACACGCATCTGAGTGCAGGCTATGGGCCCCAGTCATTACATGGAAATGGGCAAGAAAAGACCCAAACCATCAGATAGGCTTCGCAGTTTCAGCCCCCATGCTGAAAAGGAAAGGTGTGCTTATTCATGCATTGCAGTCGCCGTTCACTACGAGCAAGAGTCTGTTCTTGCAGCAGCCAGGTGGTTCACCGAGAGTCTGGCTTGCCTCACTGCAAGAAGAAATTCCCTATGGTCATGCCGAGGCTTCAATGTATTCACTTTTTGGTGCTGCTACCCTCAAGTACTCTGGGTTCTCTGCTGCGGGAACTTTCAATAGACCATTAGGTTTGGTTTCCTTCGGTAAGAAGTCCTGCTGGTAGTCAGGATTGTCCAGATTTATTTGGTGGTTGCCCGCCTGGATCCAGTAAGGAGAGCTCTCGAAGACTGTCTTGGCCAGAGGAGACTGGTTTGTGTTGAGATACTCAGGGTTGTCCACAGCTGTGCTGTGTGAATTCTGGTAGCTGGAGTCCGTGGGGACCTTTGAGTTTGGTGTGAGTGAGAAATTATTGTAGATTGGATTCTGGACCACTGAGGCAGATGTTTTCTTGGGCACCAACTGGTTTACGTACTCTGGAATGTAAAGAAAATAAAAATGAGAAGGAATGAAAAGGAAGATATATAACTAATGCAGGCATCTGCATCACTCGAGGTGTAGTTTCAATCCAGCTGCCACTTGCTCTTTGTGCACAGCATCTCACTGAACTTCCTGGAGCGGAAGAGAGCCAAAGGCAAGGACTGCTGTGCCATGGCACCAAACACAGTGCCCTGAAGTTCACCTTCAGGAATTCGGTTTGCAAAGCAGCAGAAAGATGGCTTGGACCATGAGACAGTGAGACAGCTACTGCTGACTTTAGTGACGTGGGGGTGGCTATGTCCCAGATACTGTTCTGAAATTGCAGTCAGGGAGTTTTGCTGCCAGAAGCTGTTTTCCTAGAAAAATGTTTCGAGATGAGGAAGGTGCCTAGAAAATATAGGACTGGCAGAAACAGAGGCTCCACATCTCACTTAAATGCCATCCCTTGCGGGGTCTTTCACCCTTTTTAGTTACGGTGTATTCTTGGAAGGGTTGGTTGGGTTTTTTTAAGGACACAAAGCATCATGGCTGTATAACCCAGCAGCAGCTCCCTCAGTGCTCCCTGGCTCACTCTCCAACTGCCTACGCTGTAAGTCCATGTGAAACCGTGAGCTGCCTTCTGTGTATCAACATCTGAAAGCAGTGAAACTGCCAGAAAGCAGTTTATATTGCTGGAATGGTTTAAGGGGTGAAACCCGGTTTTTAGAGGATATTTTCCAAAGTGCAGGGGTGGTAGAAAGCTTTAAAAATATAATCACACATGCGAACACCCTGGCCAGATGGCACACATGACAAGCATGAGGAACCTGGCTGAAGGAATCAAAATGAGGAATGGCCAGAAGCAGCCAGAAAAAGTCTAGGAAAAGGATATGTGCACACATTTTCACTCCCATTTACCGACCAAAACAGGTAGGAAGCATTTGGATTGTGTCCTTTCTACAGAAAAGGAAGGACAATGATTATTTTCAAACCAAATGGCTTGTGAATGAGGGGCTGTGGGATGGAAACACGGAAGAGGTACTCACCTGGGGCTGGCAGGAAGCCATCATCTATGCTGTCCTCTAAGAAAGCGCCGGTTGGGTCTGAGCTATACCTCTGGACAAAGCTGTCTTCCCTCACAGGGTGCCCCTGCTAGGTTTGAAGTAGAGAAAATCAATATTAAAGGGACTGTTTTGTAGAAGTTTGATCCACATAGGAGAAGTGGCTCCTTTTTTAAAGGTCATCCCACTTACCCCATTTCTGTCAATGCAGGTTGTAGCAGAACTGTTGCTAGTAGCACTCTTTTAAAAAGAGAGAGAAAGAAAATACAGACGTTATGAGAAACAGTGCACTCTTAAAATTGCTTCCAATGTTTCCACAGAGGAAAAGTTTCATACCAATGAACTCAAGAGAGGAGTGCGGGATGTTGAGGGGCTGTTGAAGAAGCCCTGGTGTGGCACAAGATACTCATCCGCGTCCACTATATCTTCCATGTCCTCCTCCTCCATCAGGGTGCGATAAAACTTGGAGTCTGTAGGGCTGGGCAGGTGCATCCTATCATCTCCCTGTGAGACAAATCCGTGTGAGAGAGGACTCACAGACTCCCTTCAAACCCTCATTATCCCCTTCTCTGAGAGACAAAGTAATTTAGCGAGAGGTCCAAGACGTAAAAACTCCATCTGTGTGTTTAACCAAATTTACCTAGAGGTTAGGGGAATTTGGGCCTGCAATCTCTGTCTATGCTGCTGTAAAATATCTGCATTTTGAAGAAGATCAAACTATTCTCCTCTCAGGGCTGCAGTATGGACTGCTATTGGTCCTAGATTGGGACCAGTACTAAAAAAATAGTGACTGGTCTTGAAATTCTGTTTGCAGTTCTAGCTGAATGTGTTAAGACTTGGAAAGCAATGGTAAATCTGGCCTTAAATTATCCGTATCATATGTTTTCATATGCATTACTAATCATTTTGGGCCTCATATTAAATGCTCATCAGACATCTTCCTACCATTGGGTTTAGTACCTGTATAACGAGATAACGTGGGGGGTCACGGGCCATTTTTGAGAACTCCGCTATCAGTTCGCGAAACTTGGGACGGCTGTCTGCATCAATCATCCAGCCTGGAGGGATAACAAGGAAAGCAATGAACAAATAAAGTTGTTTTAGTGATCAAACACAGAGCTTTAAATAAAAAGTAACAGTGAAAAGAACACCACCATACATGCTGCTAAGCATTTACCCATAAAGGACCACCATAAAAAATTAATTCACCAGCCACTGCTGTGAATTTCAGCATTTAAAATGCACATCTTGGCAGTTTTGGGAAGAATGAAGGAGGTAATAAAACCCCATGTTGGAAAAGCTCCAGGCTGAACCTGTCTCCTCTCCTGCTGGCCTATCTCCGGTTGGGCAGGCAGGTCCCACCTGAGTGATAATAACACATCAGTCCTGAGGATACCAAATAGGTGGCCAGACTGGATCGGTCCAAATTAGGCTGCTCTGAAAAATCTCTTGAAGGAGGGGAAGCAAACTAACTTCAGCAGGCACCTGCAGATATACGGTGATTTGACCATCTAGTCCTCACTGCACTGCTTTGTGAAATCCTGGGAAGCCTCAAGCAGAAGCTACCCTCTGTACCAGATGTCTTCTAAAATTCAAAACATCCTCGCTGGGGACATTTTGAAAGATTAGCCATCTCTAAGCTGTATTTAATTAGTCAACAGACTTTAACAAAAACAAGTCCTACAGCTTAGTATGGATCAATGCTAGAAATATAGATACTGGTAATTTAACGTGAGATTACTTAGGGAACCCATGCTTTCTGTTATCAACTAACAGATGAGCTGACGCAGAGACTCTTGCATTTAAAATTAAAAATAATAAAGGTCAAGCTTAGTGTGTCTGGAGGAACTCATAAGAAAGAAATTAAGTGATAATATGCCATCTAAAATCTGCATTAGACAAAATCTCATCATTGCCAGTGACTTTTTACCATGCTAGAAATATGATCCCCTGCTAATTCAAGAAGAAATCCTTTTTGCTTTTAGACAGAGTGGAGCATTTCGGAGTTTTCTGCTGTTGCAGAAGTAGCATCTACTATTTCTGAATTTACGTCTGAGTTGCATATGTTTAAACACTGCTTCTTAAATAAAAAAAATAAAAATTGTTGTGCAATAACTTTGAACATTTTAGTTTATACTCTCTGCTTATAAAAGAGATGACTGGGACTCCTGAATTCCTCTAGACAAAACGGCATGGCTTCAACAGAGTCTGTGCTGTAGCCTGCAAACATGGGGTGATCAGAGCAGTGAAAGATGTGCAACTGAGTCCTGTGACAGAAGCAAAGCTCAAACCCCAGATCCTCATGCTCTTGCATTTCAATTCAGTATAACAGTATGAAAGGGGATGGGGACACTCCACTAGTGGTGTTTTAAAAGCAACAGGTACCTGATCAGGTGCCTGGAAAAATGCCTGCTTTCTACATCTGGACTGAGCCAAAGGAAGGGCAATGGATGGAGCTGATAAGCTTTGTGAAGGCTCAGCCCCTGAGGACATGCTCCAGTGCAGAGCTTTTGAAGACCTGGGATATGACTGCTGCAAGAGGAAATGTTGGCAGGGCTGAGATGTCAGTAGGGTTCAGCATCACTGAGGAGGAGTTTCCAGGACACTGCTTTTGGATCTGGGCACCTCCCAGGCTAGGTGCACACATCTGGATTTGTTTCCTGCTTGCTCTGGTGAGCACAGGATCGGGCTCGCCCTATGCAGTGCCTGTCCTGACAAAGCAACACTGGGGCACTCCAGGACTCCTCAAAGGTGCTGCACTACAGGGTGTTCATGGAGTGTGGCTCCTATTTCAGGAACAAGTACATTTTGCTCCAGTGAGAAGGTCTTAAGTGCCACCTAGTGGGCTTCTTATCAGCACCCGCACAGACACTGGTAGCGAGCAGGGATGTGGCAGTCATCGTCTAGAGATGCACAGGAAGCCAGGTAATAATCTGATGTTTTAGCAGCTGATACAGATGGAAAAGGGGTTTGGGGGTTCAGAAGCCTTTTGATGTGCCCTAACAATGACCAAAAAGTGCTTCAGAGACCCCAAGCTCCTGTGCTACTTCACAGCAACAGCCGTGTGCCAAAATGGAGACATCCAAAAATAAGGAAGAAATCGGATGAGGAACTCCGGATCCTCATGTGCATCTGCCATTACGGTGGTGCCTGTGCTCACAGCACTGCTTTAGTAAAAGGAGCACATAATCTGTGTGTGTGTTTGCAGGGTGAGGCATATTACTGAACTAAGGGGGAGCTTGGAGGAGAAGGCAGTGTTAATTTTATTTTCGAGATATACAAAACCAGAGTATCAGGTAAAGTGAGTGGTGTTATGCTGATTTATACTGCCTGACAATATCAGTTTAAAATAATTGACAGTGTCAGCCAGGGGTGTGAATGGTGAAAAAACTTTAGCTGGCTGAATTAGCAATTAATGAAACCATATCCCATGCTCCTAGCTAAAGCTCAAGGTGCAGGAACACACTCTGGTGTCACCACTCTTTTCACATAACCTTATTTCTGTGCAATCATCAAGAACGCAGCATATACAAATGCGACATAACAAAGGCAATTGTGCTACTTATTTGACTTAGGTGAGCACCCACAACCCCAAATGTGAACTCACATTTGACCATGATCATGTACACATCGATGGTACAGATTGGGGGCTGGGGCAAACGCTCGCCCTTCTCCAAGACAGAGGAGATTTCACTGGCAGGGATCCCGTCGTATGGCTTGGACCCAAATGTCATCAGCTCCCAAACTGTCACACCTGCAGGGTGGGAAGAGAAGACCGTGAGAGAAGCTTTGCCAGGAGCCTGGGTGCTTGACCCGGGCGCAGAGAGGTGGTGAGTGGAGAGGGCTTTCCCAGAGGCACTGCATTGCCAGAGCCCCACCCAGGAAAAGCATTTTCTGCCATGATTTTGAAGAGAGACAAATTAATAAAAGAGGTTGAAATCATCCTGATTTCCTTTCTGGGTTTTTTGGTTGGGTTTTTTCCTTTGTTGTTGTTGGTTTTTTTTTTTCTTCTCAGCTACTATCTCAGTGTTGAACATCCCACAAACTTCCCAGCTCCACAGAAAGGAAATGCAGGTTACCGCCTCCTGACTCCAACCCAGCAAGTGGTTTTAAAAATGGAAGTTGTATCTTTGTTTCAAAACAATCTCTTTGGAGACAAGTAAAAGCAGTTTTTGAAAGATGTGTAAACCAGCTGCCTCAGTGTTGTTTGCTGACATACCACGTACACTTGTGATGTAGCTGTTGTGATTGTCTGGTAGCTTAGGATACAAAACAAGATTTTGGATGCCAAGATACATAAGTGGATTAAGAGGTCTTTTCTCTAAAAGGACACAGGATCTGACCATCTGCATTAAATATCTTCCAGGAATATAAGAGACCATGGAGCGGAAATTTTGGAATAAGTTGGTTTGAAAAGTATCCTTTCTGCTCCTCTTTCTTTCAAGCTGGTTTATGAACTATACCAAATATAAAATGAATTCTCTAAGGAGGTAAACACCTTGCTTCCCTTTTAGCATTGTCCTCTCAATACCAGGACAGCACAAACATTTTAGGCCACAGCAAGGTTACACTGATTGACACTGACTGACAGCATGGCTGATGGTTTTAAGTCCTCCCTCTAGTTATATGGCTTTATTGCCAGTCCAGTTATATTTCATGTGAAGTTGCTGAAGAAAAGCATCAGCAGAATACAGCAAATGGAGCAGAGTTTCCTACATGCGGCCCCTTTCAGGGGAGGGCTTATCATCTGAAAGCATATTCTGCAAAACATTTTATACCTCACTAGCACACAATTTCATGGGAATTTTACTTTATTGAATAAGTGATTTGGGCCCATTGTTTATGTTTAATCTCTCAGTCTTCTCATAATAGGAAGAAAAAAGGTCTGTGTAGAGTCACTAGCAAATACTGCAATTTTCCAACCCATTTGCAATAATTATAACTGGTTTTAGACTCACCGTAACTCCAGACATCACTTTGATGAGTGTAAATCCGGTGTAAAATTGACTCCAAGGCCATCCATTTAATAGGAACCTAGGAAAATTCACAAATAAGCCTTAAGAGGCTGACCCAAAATTTATCAGCGATATTTACCACCAGGTGGTGTTTAAACCAATAGTTTGGTTGCAGAAGGGGAAAAAAAAAAATCCAAGAAAACCCACAACTATCTGGGTGGTAGCACAGGCAACTTTTGAGTCCCTTATTATTATTTTCATTTATTATGTTGAACCTGGTAACTTGTGAAATATTAGACATATTAGAAATATCTCTTACTAATTGGTTTTACAATATTTTTAACAGTCACATTACTATTTTTTTTAACATTCTCCTATCATAACAGGACACAAATCCAATCTCAGGCTGTATGAAAAAGACTGATCTGTGCTCATATGGTTTCCATTTATGGTCTCCACAATATTTGCAAGCAGCTTCTCTTTAATTTCTCAGCAGGACACATTCCCTCCATCAGCACGTAGTACAACATGAAGGCGTGTTGAACCAAGTCTGACAGGTCTTTCTTCTGCTATAAATATACAGCATTCCCTTTCTTTTCATAAACTGCAGTGTTCTTGGTGTTGGCTACACTGATGAATTCAGCCATGCCTTTTTTTTTTAATGTTTTTTTAATAATCTTGCTTTTTCCCAGACATTCTGGGTGGGAATTTCAAAAGCATTTGCTGCTCTGCTACCTCCGCTCCCACTGCAGTCCCACTGGCCTGATGCTGCTTCGGCTGATTTCAGAGGACTCCCACAGGCTTCAAAGGCAGCACGCTGAGACGGCAGCTGGGCACTTTGAAAAACCCACTCTCTTTTTTTCCCCTGTGTTTAAGGCTCATGTGCAAGCACAAACACCGATGAACGCGCAGTGGTTCATTTCTCTGATGCTCTTTACCTTGCCTCCCTCGGCGTGATACTCCTTCTCGTCGGCACCGAGCAGCTTTGCCAGCCCAAAGTCCGTGATTTTCACATGTTGAGGAGTCTTAACAAGGACGTTCCTGGCAGCAAGGTCACGGTGCACCAGGCGACGCTCCTCCAAATAGTTCATTCCCTGCAATACGACAGACCATGGGTAGGCATCACAGGCTTTGGGCTTGGACATGCAAACAAATTACCAAATGTTAGCTGCTCTGTGGTAACTGTACACACACCACCATAAGCACATGGTGACCTATCCCCCACCTTCAGAAAAAGGTTTGCTGTTTCGATTTACGTGATGCTTATTGCAGGGTGAGGATGTGTGCTTGCACAGTGACAAGGAGAAGTAACTATTACCCTCCAGGAAACTTTTTGTGGGTCCATGTGCCAGTGGAGTCATGGAGAAAAAAAAGACAGTAGCTGGTATAGCAGGGGATGTGGTTCCTTTGGGATTTAGTTCAAGAAATATAAAATTGGGATAAGACTTGCAAATAAGGGGGCAAACCTTTCTTTCAGCTGCATTTGTGCAACCCCAATGACTTCAGGAGAGCACAGTGCAGAATTTAACTATCACCTTCCATACACACACAGGCCAACCCTACAGAGAGTATGTAAACACTAATGGCCTGGGAGAAGAGTCCAAGCAAAAATAAATCAATCGCTTAAAGTTGCCGATTCTGCGTCTTGTTATAGTGTACTCTGCCTTCTCCCTGCTAACAATGAGGCATCCCACCACAAAGGTGAGAAAAGGAAATAAAATAAAAAAGTTCATTTTATGGCTCAGCTCAGAGTTGCATCTATTTCCAAGTCCTCTTTGAAAAGGCAAGTTCTTCCAGTTTCACTGCCTCCCATGATTAGACTGCGTTTGCCATAGCATACGTGCTTTTTTGGTACAACTGCCTCTTGTGGAAGAATACAACTAATTGTGCCGGTTTGACTTTTAAGGTACGAATCTAACAGCTGCATTTCTGACCACAGAGATTATTCCCCTTTCCCTCAACTCCAATCTCGTAGTGTATGGAATCAAAAAGTTCATGATTTCTAAGTTTCCTGCAAGATCCTTTCTAAAAACCACAATTATTCCCAGTCGATAGGTTTCTGCTGGCAGCAGCTTATGCGTTTGTATTTTTATGAAAAGAGAATTAATAAAAAAGTACTTCTAACCTACAAAGTTAACACCAAAATGATCATGTTGATGTGATGACAGAGCACTGGAGGGAATAATTCCCTTCCAGCCTCCACCCCCTTCCTAAGCCCACTGCTAACCTGGACCACCATCGAATCCTCCACCCAAGTCCCTCAGCAGAACTTCACCCATGCGGTGCTAATGTTGCCAAAACAAACCACCCAAACAAACTGGCACAATGCCACTACAAGCGTGCATTTAATTACACAAATAGATCTTTAGCGAGCAGAGCTCTTGAAACAAAAAATCTTGAACTGCCAACAGAAAGCAGACTATCTTAAAAAAAAAAAAAAATCACATAATCTAGCCCCAGTAGGACAAAAAATTTCCTGCTAAACATGTCTTGCTGCAGGGATTTAAGACTCAAAGCTGCTGAAAGGCAGAATATCAGTTTCACACTAAGCTGTTTAGGACACTGAGAGCTAAAAGATTTGTGCATGTGCATAATGGTACACTGAAGATGTTGAACTGCTCATCCAGAAAGTTCAGCAGATCTATAATTGTGTGCAGGCCTGGGATTTAAGCCATTTTGCATCATTAAGTGTGAGACCAGTGTGTTCAAAGAGTTACTTCACAGTGTTTCTGCATGTGGTGTGTCTATGCTCTGTCATAACATCTTGTCTGAAAGACAGGACTCCATACCTCAGAGAAAGATAATGTTTATAGATGCAAAGAAAACTTAATTCAAAGCTGTGAAAACAGAAACAAAAATAAGCTTCCCAGGGAACTTGCCTCCCGCTGGTTAGTTACCAGACATAAATACATTTGTTTCAATGTTTTCCCCCTCCAAAAGTACTTTTTTAAAGAGTCAGAGAATGTCCAAAAATCTGCCATGACTTTATCAGAGTAGTAACGCCAGACAGATTGGTGGGAAAAAGCCATATGCGTGATATACAAGCACTTTGAGGAGAACTTCAGTGAGGAGCAGCACAAAGCAGTATGTTGAAGGTCAGGCATCGCTGGAGAGGGTAGAGATTGCTATGGGCAAATGTTGAACCGACATGAAACAAATCAAACAGAAGCTAACAATTGTGAATGGCAACCTTTTGGGCAAGTGATGCCCCAAGGATCAATTCGGGGATTGAGTTTGCCACCTTAAGAATTAACAAGGAAGAGGAGGAGGAGGGAAGTGTTGCCTCCAGCTCATCTTCCAAAGGGACTGAAACCAGGACAGAGCAGTAATTGATTTTAAACAAGAGAGCAAAAGAGTCAGAAAAAGGCAGTTCACATCCCGGGTGGACGCATAAATTAAAATTCACTTGCTGTGGAACGCGCTGTAAAAAAGTACACACACTGAGATGAAAAATGTGCTCTGTATACTTTTGGTGGATACATTTCTGAGGTCCTCAGCATGTTTCCTGAAAGCAAACCACAGCCGGGCAAGCCTGTGATGTATATACAAGGTCTCAAGGGACGGATAAGGCTGTAAGTGTGTGGCTAGCTTGCAGACTGTCGTTCCTGAAATAAGCAGCATTAAAGCAGCTGGACTTTGCGGATACTGCCATCTCATGCAACAAATCTCCAACAAACTGCAGCTGGTTTTTTGCTGGTTTTGCTCCATTCTTCCATGCTCGCAAATGGCTAACCAACTTCCAGGCACAGCGTATTGATGCTAAGGGCTAGAGGTTGTACTTCAGTCTCCTTTGCTGCTCTTCTCTTTGGCAAACTGTGCCAGATGCGATAATGAGTGTCTTATTTGGCACTATGGCCACTGCAATTAGATTACAGGCACCAACTCAGTGCATATAAATTACAGAACAACCCTGGGGTGCCTGAATATCTTTCGGTCACAGCCAGCCTGCACTAGAACGGAGCTGGTATTTATTAATGAGCAGTTTTGATCCCCAGGCCTCAGAGATTTCAGCCTGAAATTCTCCGAGGCACACAAGAAGGTATATTCAACAACATCACAAGCACAGCCCAGAGAAATCCACTGACGGAAGCAGCACTTTGGTATGGCAATTGCCAAATGCTACTCCCTTCCAGGCCACAGCTTCATAGCATCACATTTATTGTTTCATTACAGAGTGTTTGGTTTGGACATAAATGTCTTGGTGATAATATCATGCTGTCTAGGAGCATTTTGAGGAATAGTTAAGGTTTGCACAGCAGCTTGAAAATGGTAAATTGTTTAAGACAAAGTAATCACTTACTGTCATGTATAAGGTACATGCTAGGAAGCATGTGGTGAAATATTAAGACTTACAGAGGCAAGTGAGTAAATAAATACATTACACGCTGTCGGATCTCCTTGTTAGAGTCTGTTTTAGCTGATCTGGCAGCATGCTGGTTCACTTACCTTTGCAATCTGCACACACCAGTTGAGAAGGTACTGGGAGCCAATGTTGTCCTTGTGCTCTCGGATGTAATCAAGGAGGCAGCCATAAGGCATCAGCTGTGTGATGAGTTGAACGGTAGAAGTGAGGCAGATTCCCAACAAGCGGCACACATGAGGATTGTCAACACTAGCCATCACGTAAGCTTCCTGAGAAGAAAGGAAAAAAAAGCAATGTGAAACACTCCCTTCGGCATGACAGGAATGTTTGGAGGCAGTATAAAATAAATAAATTGGTCATTCAAGAGGTTGCTAAAATACTGTATGCAAACTCTGTGCCCCGTACCACATACAAAATACTTGTATTTCCCACTCTGTGGATCAAGTTTTTTCCACTCGGTGGAAGGTCCATATTTTGAACACTGAAGCATCACTGAGATGTCACAGAAGAGCCAGCCTCCTACTACTGGTACACCAAGTAAACATAGGACATAAAATCCTGCGGACAAAACTTATGGACCTAGAAGGAATTAATAAATTGAACATCAACTGCAAGCTGATGGGATTTCATGATTTTGAGCACCTAACTGCAAGGGCAACGCATCTTGTGAACATGTGTCATATGGCTTTTTTTCCTCTCCACAAATCTTTTCACAAAACTGACTGGACATCACTATTTTTGAGACCTCTGCGCCTTTGTCAGGGTTAGTACTAACCTAGAAAGTCAAAAGTTGTCATCTAGGATGGGACTGACAGTTTGACTTTTTCTTCAGTCCATGTCAAACCAAACAGGTTAATAATCAGTTCACCTCTGCAGAAGTCTGAATACATGCCTTACTTTAAGCAACACTGGTGAAAATATTGTCCCCAATTAGAAAAGCTGGTTTAGACCCATATAGCAATGCAAATGATACCAGGAAGGTACTTATAATGTGGGAGCCTAAGCATAATAAACCCTTTGGTCAACTGGAATTTTGGGTTTGAGTTTCATAAATATGTGAAAAACTCTTCTTTGAAGCCTAGGTTCACCCTATGTAGCTTTAGGTACCTACCTAAGGTATCCAAGGTACCCCCTCTTCCTTTGCTCTCTGTAGGAAGGGAGAGGCCCCTTCAGAGTCTGGTGCAGTACACTCCAGACACACTGAATTCACCCTTTAACATGGCCACAGGGTAAAAACCCCCGACTTCATGTTTTTTGCATGCAAAAACTACTTACAGGTTTAAATTTGAGTCCTATATTTATACTGACATCCACTGCAAGCTCAAAGAATGGATTCCAATAGGGGAAAAAAATTAGAGCTGAAGTTGTGGTTTTTTAAATTAACTTTTGTCTGATTTACAGTATTTCACTTCTAGACAGTTTTAAAGCCATTTGATTGAAAATCAACACAATGAGAAATAAATGGGGATTTTTCCATGCAGTGAGCTTTTAGGCCAGTATCTTAACTCAGCGTCTGGAGTGTCACGAACTAATCATCCCTTGGCAATTCAACATTAGGCTAGCAGCCCCCCAAAGCCTAAAATAATAGTCAGGCCACTATTGTGGCACGCAAAGGAGCAAATCTGCACTTTCTAAGAGCTTAAGAAATGAAATACCATAGCACTTTACTCATCATCTAACAAGCTTTCCACAGATGTCACATAGCTGTGTAGCTGGTAAGAACTATTATTAAACAAAGTTATTAAAGCAATGACGTTCAAGAAATAAGCAACCCCAATTCTTAAGCAATACTTTCTGGCCTTGGTATTGTTGTTTGACGTGCCAGCCTAAGCAAAACATGATGTAATGCAGTTTTCTTCTGGGGTGCTAATTCTGCATTTGGTATCCTTGTTTTGGGGCCTCTGGGATTAAAGTGGTCTGCAGGCAGCCAGGTTAAAGATCTCCAGCAGAACTGGGCAAGGGCTCCTTAACCTACTGCAGGATGTGAGCAGGGCATTGAAAAACAACCCTCTGTCAAAGGCTAATGCTGATTCTGTAGGCTAGCCTAAAGAAAGATAAAGCAAGGATACAATGTGCTATTCAATTATGTAGATATTTATGGCAGTGTTTTTTAGAGAACCTTGCGAATCCCCTATACAATGCTCAGATGTAAGTAGGGACCAAAACATGCTCACTGCAGGGGGGCTGGGCTAGATGATCTCTCAAGGTCCCTTCCAACCCAAAGCATTCTATGATTCTATGATTCTATGCTAAATCTCCCTAGGCTTCTGAACTGAGCCGTTGTACCGACGAAGGGAGTCTTTTCCTTGCCTTGCTTCCTGTTGGGATTCAGACCCATATTGCATTCATTTTGGGGGGAGGACGGGGATGGAATCTGCAGAGTCGGAGCTGTTCTCACTGCCCATCTGCTGTGCAGCCCGCGCAGCGCTGACCTGGGGGCTGAGAACTGGGATGCTGAAAGAGCAGGGTGGGCGTACGGGCCACACAGCTTTTGGAGAGCATCCAAGCGTTGACGCTGCCTATTACTTTTGATACTGCAAAGTAAAATAGGCCACCACCTCCTTTCAGGGAGCAGAAGGGAGCTATTGTGCGGTCATGGGTCCCCCTAAGTAGCCCAAGACATTAAAGTGGGGCTTTGTTTCAACTGTTTATCTTGGAAATCTCTGCGGTACGCTCTGACCTGCTCCAAGTATGCTTGGTATTCAACAACAATCTTCTGAATTAGCCCTACCTTAATAAAGCCAGCAAGAGCTCGCCTGGATTATATGAGCTAAAGCTGCTGTGCTTGTTCTATACCTAGCGTGTTTCTGTAAGACAAATAATCTTTAATTGGACATTATTATCTCTGAGGTTTCAGTGACCTTGAAAAGTTGGTTGTGTAGCAAAAATCTGTTTTGGGAGGAGCTTTTGGAGTCATCCCTCTGACTTCTTTCACTGGTTTTGTATTTTTTAAAATTTTCCTCTGAAATATAGAATGAATTCCACCAACCAAATCATCTGAAAAATTAACAGGACTGAAAAAAGCACGAGCTTTTTATTAAGCATCCTAATTCAATGGAAAAGAAAAGATAATGCAGGGATATAATACAGAAACTTCTTTGAAAAGAGAAAGTACTTTGATACCACTGAAGAGTGCACAGTCCCTGCATCTACTGCTCCATCGTGTGAATATCTTGATCTGCTGAAGGCAGGATGCAGTACTGTAGGCTTACTCATTAACCCTTCCTTCAGTATACAGGAATTTAATGCAGTTAAGTCCAAAGCATCCTTTGCAAAGACTGTTATGCTGCTTATCACTGTGAAGAGGGAAACGAGGGGCAGAGCTCAGGGCAGGCAGACGAGCAGCACCTTTGCCAGCTCCTCAATGCAGGGAATGCCAGTGATTCACAGGCAGGTGAGGGGCAGGGACCAGGGCCTCAGGGGCTGGGGACGTGGGGAAGGGCTAAGACTGGCCTGGAGTCTAACTAAATCAAAATCAGGATGGATATTGCTTCGTGCATGGATTCTGAGATGGACCACCTATTCTTTTGCATTGCTGCAATACACGTACCAAATCATATGGTACATAACACATGATCTGCTGAAGTGATGTATTGGAATAACATTGTTTATTCAGGGTGATTGGAAAAATCCAGTGTGCTTTATTATCATCAGTAGCACAGGTAGGTTTGTTCACAGCCATTCATCCCGACACTCCTCACTATGAGACTTGGCCTTTTGTTAAGGTCTTTGCCATCTTGAAAAATTTGAGATGAGCCTTCCTACCTGAGGTGTCATTTGCTGTCCAAAGCTGGATTATTATTTCCTGCTAAAGTGGTTCAGTTCCTACCAAAATAAAAAAAATCCAGAGTTTTTGCCGTGGCTGAAGGACTGCCCCTTCCACGCAAACAGGCTGTCCCAAGCTGTGGACCTGCACTTCACAGGTCCTTTTGGGATGTACCAGGGATGTGTGCCCTGTCCCTGCAAACAAGCACTTGATAGATGAGCCCCTGCCAAATCCAGGCTTCCAACCTATGCTTTCTAGAGGCACACTCATGCAGGTATAGCAAGAAGAATCTTAAAGACCTCATCTGTACCAGATACACTGTGTTGCTTGGGGAGTCCCTGGGCTGACCAGTCCTCCAGACTGACCCAGCAGGCTCCAGCTCAGGGCTCAGAGGGCTGAACAGAACACACAAACACACAGGGAACACATTTCTTGCCGCTGAGGACTGAACCACAGCACAGGAAAGCTGAACTGAATGTATACTGAACATCTGAGTGCTCCTCTCCACACTCAGCATTTTCTTTCTTTTCCTCTTATATAAATATATATCCTTGGACATCAGAGTAAAGAAAACAGAATTAGCTGTAAATATATGGTCCTGACCTCTCCTTAGGTGCTACCCCACAAGTATAACATCAGTATTTGGACTGCGAGCAAGGAGTTCACAGGAGACTCAAAAGCACTTCACAGACTGGGCTGCAAAGCCAAGTACTTCTAGATGAAGAACGCAGTTTGGGGTGCAAAATATTTCTTCTCACCCAAAAGCCTGAAACCCCTTTAGTTGTTACAAAGGAAAATCCACAGACCACTGACAACTTGACAAAACAAACATGAAAACTTACATCAAGTATTTCCTTGTTGGCTTTTGGTGATGTAGCCTCTCTCAACTCTTTAATAGCAACAGGAATTTTAACCTTCTCCCCTTCTGGGATCCAAAGTCCCTACCAAAAAGAAGTACAAAGAGTTATTCAGTCTCATACCTACCAGGTTAATTCTCACAATTGTATATACATTTTACATCTTCTGAGTAGACTTAAATATTCTGAGCAATGGAAAGACATGGCAGGCAACAAAAATATGCAAAAAAATGTGTCTTGTGGGTGTTAACAAAATCCTGTTAATGGAGTGAGTGGTATGTCTCTTTCAGTCACCTCTACTGTATTTTTTTGAAAAAACATGCTCATTACTCTGCCTGTATAAATAGCCCAAGAGATGCATAAGGAGCAACTTTTGCAGATGGAAATCTAATTAATTAGTGCATCACAGCAACTGCATGTGCAAAACCTTGCAACGTCCAATTTTTAAATCATGGGATGATGGCATTTTCTCATGAAAACAAGATGGCATCTGTACCCTACAAATAATCCAGTCCTCAACATATGCAGTGGCAGGTAGGTTTATGTCCGACTGATTCAGTGCCCTACATCTATAGTGTCAGGAGGCCATTTAGGTGGCACTGCGAGGATACTCTGCTGAAGTACCCAGCAATGTAGGTGCACATTTTCAGAGGTCAATGGGATTTGTGCCACTGAAGTTCCTAACCATAGCTGGAAGCCTGCTTCAGAGTATAGAGCTTTATAAAGAGATATATGAATCTACAGTTTATATTTCAGTACTACTGGCAAAGCTTGAAACACATATCCTGAATAAAAGGAGGAGCAAAGAAAAGTGGTCCTTGGTGAAGAAGAAACACAGAGGGTAAACAAACACCAAGAGAAAAAATAGCTTGTGGACCTACACAACTGAAGGTGTGTAGACACTTCCACACATCTGAGTCAGTTCTAATGAAATGAGTGGTTGACAATTTTAAAAACAAGACCGGAGACCACACAGAATAACGGCTTAGCACCGAGCTGACCAAAGTGCGTTTCTTTTTTTGCTAATATTCACAACAGTTTGTATTTGGCTGTAGTAGTTTTTAAGTCGA